GGGTGAACTAATACATGCCTCACAGCTATTTGGCTTTCTAAGTCTGTTCTTGAATCATAAGCCTTCTTGGAAAGGGCCTGGCATGGTATTTAAATGGCATCATGTGTGATGTTTGTGCTTGGGGGCTGATGTTCTGAGGAGTATTTTAGTGAGCCGAGTAAGAAACGAAACTCCTTGTCACACTAGTATACTGTAGTTTTGATAAAAACTGGAAGCTCTGTAGTTAACTGAGTAAGACCTCTCTGGATTAGTTGCAGCATATCTACTGGCATGCATCAGGGAAAGGGAGATGTAGCTGTGGAATGCAGTTCTGAAAATAAGAAAATGACTGAAAAGAATCATGGACATTCTGCCATTCCTTAAAAAAAAGGAACAATCTAGGAATGTTATTGCCTTACTGTTCTCTCAACTAGAACAGTTTTGTTCTGAGTTCCTTCAGAACCAGTATTTCTTTGATTTCTTTTCTAGCAGTTTTTGGCTGTCCTTAAGTGTCCGAGCTCAAAACTCCTGGAGGGAGAAAACCACTGTGCCTGGCCTCCTGGCTGCCTCTGGGGCTTGCTTCCATGTTACCCATTTGAATAATGATTCGAGAAAGTGAGGAGAAAGCGAGGACCCGGTTAGGTGTGCTGCTGCTGGGTGAGAGGGTTTAGGCTATTGAAGCAATTGACTGCTACTTCTGAGAGCAGAGGGACAAAGTCTGGGAACTCCTAGGGACGAGGAGGAAGGCTGGAAATATGACTTCTAGATAGTGCAATATATAGGGACAGGGTATGAAGAATGAGTCTTGTTGATATGAGTTCCTTTCTCTCGTGAGCAGTACAGCAAATGAGGCGTGGGGGTCTGCTGTCAGCTCGCAGCCCCTCAGCGGAATGGCGGCTCCCTGGCAGCTGAAGGACCGTTTTGCGTGTGAGGGCAGTTCTTTTGCCTTTTGTTTCCTCTCTGCGCTGCAGTGGTTGGGGCTGGAAGCCATGCTGCAGAGTTCAAACTGTGTGTTTCAGGAGGGGTGGCTGGCAGCGCCTGCTTTTCCCACTTGCAGTGCACAGGTGGAGCGGGGATACCTCAGACCATCCAGATACTGCATTTCATGAGAGTCATTCGTTACCAGGCATCTGCTTTGCATGAAGCATTCCCAGTTCCCCTGGTGCTTCCTTCCTGCCTGCAGAATCACTTCTGCTTCCCCTTGTGTAAAGGTGAACCCAGGTATGTCCCCTCCTCCAGAGAATAAAGGTCATTTGTATCTCATCTGTACTCCCTTTTGGGGAGTGGACCCAGAGCTATGAGTTACTATGGGAATCTGTCAGGAAAGGGCAAAACTCGCCGGCTTTTCCGGGCAGGGGCTCCCTCGCACAGTCCTAACCCAAAATAGCCCCAGCGAGGGGTGAGGTGCCGGGAGCCGGAGCCTGGTCCCCACCCTCCTCTTGTCCTTCTGCACTCTGGCTGGGGGATTTTGGGGAATGTTTGATCAGCAAATACCTCAGGTAATGGAAGAAAATGTGAAGGACCCTTATAATTCCAGCAAAATAAGGAAAGGATAACCTTTGGAGGTCATTTGGTCCATTCCTCTGCTTGAAGCCAGACTACATTCAAATTTAGATCAGATTGCTCAGGGCCTTGTAAAGCTTTTTGTAAGATGTACACAAAGATATACAGCTTCTTCTTCTGGAACACTATGGCCAGCTTGTTTGCTCCAATGCAACCTACTCTCAATTTATGTTGTGAATTCAGGTTGCAGCTTGTGGCCAGCGTAGCACAAGGGATTCATGCAGCTACTGTTTTCGTTGAACCAAAATTAATTCAGTAACGGACTTCTACTTGCTGAAGCACTTTTTTTTTCTTTTTCTTTTTTTTTTTTTCCTTCTTTCTTTAATTCTCTGGAATTTTAACTCCATGACAAAGAAATAGCATTCTTCTTTTATATTAGTAGGAGCTAAATACAAATACCTTTACTTTTCCGTGCTAAGTAATGTTTCAATGATTGTTCCCTAGATTTATTTTAAAACTGTTACTAGAACTAGTAACACCTAGCAGCATGTAAAGCCTCATTTTATTAAACCAAAATGAAAATTTAGGCTTCATATAATTGCTTTCTGTAACCCAGGCAGCTGGAACCAACACGTTTCTAAGAAGTGGTCTTCCCATTACTGCTGTTTCTTCACTGAGGTTCCTGCACATAAGAACATTCTGAACAAGATGTTGTGCAATACCAGTGTTGATAAAGCAAGCATTTGTTCCTTGTTCCTTTAGTATTTCAGATTTTTATACTATTTCGCAGTCTTTATTCAGATGAAAAGCAGGGCATGGCTGACTCTGTTAATCTTGGTGACTGAATTGGAGGTGTAGAAGGAGTCTAGATAAAAAGCAATAGAAGAAGGGAGACAATTCTGATAAAAGAAATAATCTTAAGTATTCTCTTTAGCATCATGTCTGATGAAATGGGAGTTGAACTTTGTAAAATCTTTGTTGCTTTTCTAGCTATAGAGCATATCAACATTTTCTAAATCCTAGATGGCAGAGTGATGTATATGGGTGATTGTAGGGAGAAAAAATGATTCTGGGCTACTATAAAGCTTTCTTTTAAATAAATCATGATGCTGTCTCTACTCTCCCATTACCAAAGGGTTCAGTTGTAATTCTTGATATTTCCCTGAAGTTCATGTAGCTGGTACATCTCACAGCATAAACTGATCTTTTGCTAGTTTAAACAATATTTTTTTTAATTCATCTTTAATTTGTGCTATTCCTACTGGTAGCTTTGTCAACATATTTTAATATGGTAATATATGAAGCTTGCCACTCAATATTATCAACTGTGAGAACAAGGTTTAAGGTACGCAGTTTGGATGTGTTCTTTCAGATTTTTAAATTAGATGTATAATTTTAAATTACTTCCTATTACTTTTTTTTTTTTTTTTTTAAACCTGTATGCATATGGTGACCAGAATCTAATTAAAGTATGTCAAACAGGATGGTGATTTTGTTAGTAAAGTTAGTAAAGTAGAAGAAAAGGAACACTTTAAGAACAATTTATTAAACAAAGAGGATGTTGTGTATGAGTTGGGAAGTGACCTAGATGCCATTAAACATCTTCCTGTGACTTCAGCTTTTACCCTGGGAGTGTAAAGCTGGAAGGAACTACTTTCAGTTTCATTTCCAGCTTTGAATGACCGTTTTTGTTGAATTGAACTAGTTTGAAGAACCATATCAGACAAAATATATTACTAGTTTAACTTGAACAGCATTCTTTTTACAGAATAACTAGGTTTATTGTTTATTTTAAAGCTTTTGATCCTATAAAAAGGAGTCATTCTTTTTTCTACTTCTACTTATGAATCTCGTGGCTATTTTGAACCTCTGTGTTTAATAGAAGTTGCTGCCATTGTCTTGCTTCTCTTGTTACCCCAGAGACTGAGGAGTATCTCTCAAAGTTGATGCTGGCATCAGTAAATGTTCTTTCTGCTATTTTTAACTCCTTTCGGCAACCCTGGACGAGTAGAAAGACGAACAGCAGTTTGTCCTTTCACTCGATATTCTGCTGTGGAAGCCCGCTCACCTGTGCAAGCCCACCCTTTATTATCACGTGGAGACAAAAACTGCATATGTGATATTTAGTAGGACCACTTCAGAAGGGCAGTAGCATAAAGAACTGAGTAGGTGGTAGCATGGCATCACAGCTGCCCCAGGATTTACCCAAGCAGGTTTTTTAGTCAATATCAATACACTAAACCAGTTGTTCTGAAATTACTGTGGTTCATATGAATTGCATGATGTTTCCGAATAGCTGCCCAGTGGAGTCCTGCACTGCGGTGAAATAACTGCACATCCCCATGCTTTCCTCTGCGTTGAAGATGATTTCAGGATTCTCAAAGCATGTATGCAGGCATAGATAATTTAGACTTATGTTGTGGTGGAGACATAGCCCAGGAGGAAGCCAAAATATTTAGTTATTTTAGCTTGTCTTTGTAATTCAGCTTTCCCGTACAGTTTAGACAGGCAAGTATCTTTTATCATAAATAGAGAACTGAATAACTCTTGTCTATATTAAAAACCCTCATGAAATAAAAATGTTGTTTTGCAGAACAATTATAAGCAGATCCACGGCAATGCAAGGTGAGTAAAATATAAAAAGGTGTCATCTTTTGTTAATATCAAAGATAACATGGATCCTTCCGAGGTGTTCAAGCAATATTAGCTTAGCTGTTAGTTTGCCTTCTAATTTTATGAAATACGTATGAATGTTTTAAATTGAAATTGTTTAAATTTTAAAATGGAATCATTTACAAAATGTATAGCTTACATTTTCAGATCTTATTTTCTGAAGTTAAATAAAATAAATAAATGATCTTGAAATTCAAGTTATTTCTGCTTAGAAACTGAATTTGGTAAATGTTTTTAAATCCATAACCCTCTGAGTCTGCTGGTGAGGCATTAGTATAGTCCTAACTTGAAGAAATTGGAAGAAAATGTTTTATGTAGTGGAGAATGGCTTATTACCTGTTCTGTACAGGAGGGCAGCCTGTCAGTTCCCTGGCAATTCTTTGAATTAAAGCCTGCTTCTAAATACAAATGAACAAAGGCACCTCTGGTCCAGACAGAGGGTGAACTGACCCTGCTTGAGCAGGGGTTGGACTGGTGATCTCAAGGGGTCCCTTCCAAGCTAAATGATTCTGTGACATCCTCATGACATCATGTGCAATACCTGCCTTTTTTCTGCACTTTAGGGATCAGAACTCCTTTAAGTTATACAGATGTTTAATATACATGTTGTGCATAAATATGAGCTTGTTATACCGTTTTTGCTATACAGAAAACAGCTGCTTAATTTTGTTATGTGTCTACTCTGAAAAAAGAGCCAATGTTGGGGATCTTTCACCCTAGGGGAAGAGGAAACGAGCAATACTTAAAGCATGTGTTCCATTCTTCCAGCAAATAAACCTGCACCAGCACCTGGATTTTCAAATGTTAACTACGCACCAGGAAATGAAGTCCCGTACGCACCGGGGACTTACCAAGGTAGGTTGCTTGGCTACAGGTCTGCTATACTATTGGGAAATAAGAATGAGAAATAGAAGGTTTCACGAGTGACTGTCTCTGAGTTACTTTTCTACTGTTAATTCTGTAGAGTTTCTATTAATTTCTGTTTTGCTGAAAAGTCATCTTCTTTCCTTCTTGGTACTACGTGTTAGTATGTGCTGAGCTGTACCAAGTGGTAGGAGTTAAAAATGTGGGATGTTCCTCGGTGGTCACTGTGGGGAGTTTGTTAGGGAGGTGTTACTACTGCAAAGCAACTAATGTATGACAGCTTCTGGCTGATGATCCGATTTTTTAATAAACGTGTTATTTCAGTATTTCACTTTATGTTTCTCTAGAAATCCAGAACTGAAGAAAGAATTGTTTTCCTCTTGCTGTTATACTGGTCCATGTATTCTGTTCCTGTTTCCTACTCTATGGCTGTACTTTTCCTGTGGTTATACCTTACACTTTTGTTTGCTTTTCTCCTTTCTCATTTTCTGCTCCACATTCAAAATGCAGCACTCACAAAGAGCTTCTCACGTGCTGGCAACTAATTGCTTTCTGAAGAACCAAATCACAATAAGCAATACCTAGCAATCAGGTTCAAAGCATAGATTATAGATAAAATGCAAAATGTTTGGCTTAAGTTACTGCGTGGTTCATCAGTAAAAGCTTGTGCATCTTGTGGCAAGACAGTCTGAGGTCTGCGAGTACACCTGGCCTTCAGCGAGGAATGGGCACGTGCTACCTGTGCAACAAAGGTCAGGGAGCATTTTTCATTTTGAGTAGTTGAATGTGCACACACTTAGACACAACAGCAGAAGATAGTCAGTTTGTGTGCCAAGCCGGTGCTCAGACATAAAAATGATTTTGTTTTCCCTAAGTGTGGGTCCTTCTCTGGGGCGAGTGATCCTGCCGCCTGTGTGTTTTAAGCCACAGCTGTTTACGTCACCTGAGGTACTGTCCTGCTTATGGCCACACCGTGAGCTTTCACATGGTACAGTCCATATTTTGTAATGTACTGTGAAACACTGGGCCTGAACTTTGGGCTAAAGATAAGTCTACAGGTCAGTATCTTGAACTATTTGTCTTTGTACAGGTCTCCAAAAATACTCTTTGTGGCTTCTGCGTTGTGCTTGCTTCTGCATAAAATATAAAATTCCTCTGCATCAGATTGAAAACCTATCTGTCTACCAGGAAAGTATTAAATGAGGGAAATAATACAGTTCTTGTTCGGTAACTTAAGCAGCTTCAGCTACAAGGTCACAAAGAATCTCTGTAGCAAAGACCACGTTGCTGTGGGATGGTACTGCGGCAGGGCTCTGGGCGCAGCCTGGGACGTGGGATGGGTTGTGAGCGCTAAGGCAGTGCTGCGTGTGCCGTCTGGTGGGGTGCTGAGCATTTAGGCCCTGAAGTGCTTCATGAGAGCTTGCGTTTCCTGTCGAGCGCTAACTGGACAAGACTTACTTGGCATTCACAATATGTGGGACTGTTTCCTCCTTTACTATGCGCCTCCTCCATGAAGGAAGTGTGGATTTCCTGAGTTTTGAAAGAGAATCCATTAAATAAATGGGAAAATGCAGTTTTTAGATCACACTCATCTGGTTTGAAAACTGCAGATGAACTTTACTAAAAGGACATTTCCTATCACAGAAGTAGAACCTATAATTCCAGGAAAACATTTTCTTAAAATTCCTCATTTGTTCAACTGACATCTTGTAAATGCCAGTATTTTTCATGTATTTTAAGGTATTCTGTCTTCTCTACTTAGAAATAACATTCACTTATTTATTTCTTATTTTTTAATTGCCTATCTTCATGTGAATAAAATTTCTGCTATATTCAAGAATGATGTATTTTTTTGGTTTTGTTTTGTCTAGAGGGATTAGAACATCCTAATCTAGTGTAACTTCCTTCACAAACGTTGTAGTATTCATAATTGAAATGTATTGTAGGTATAAGGATCTTCATGGTTCAAAATAGTGAAAAAAAAATCTTTTGAAGATCCATCGGACAGTTCTTTTCCAACATCTAAGTTTCACAACTGCATGTCTTCTACCACAGCAAATGTCACAGGTGCGGGGGGCTATGGCTTCCAGGTACAGCCCATGGGAGTCCCAGCTGGACTTGCTGTTCCACCCATCCAGAACCAGCCCATCGTGAAGGAGGGGACAATCTGGATGCCTGTCCCTCCTCCTCTTCCCAACTGCCCTCCTGGACTGGAATACCTCACACAGGTACTTGCACCCTTCCTCATTTCCCAAAGAACAGGTATTCACCTGAGAAGCAGCCTGCGTCCATGAAAAAGCTGAAAAAAGCATCTGGCTTTGTTGCAGCTGCATGGGTTGCTGCTCTTGGGCTGCTAAGTGAAGCCTTTTGTAACGTGATTGATGCATGTTTGAGTGTGGAGGTGCCTGTAATGGCTGCAGCACTTCATGGAGTACTCTCCTGCCAAGTGAGATGCTAAAGGAGCAGGGGCACGGGGCTGTCATACATCCTTCCCATTTCTGAAGCTACTGTTTGTGACATGTAATGTGATTTGGCAAGATGTATATAACAAATATATGTAGTACAGGCGGCTGTAGCACATTAGAGGTGCCTAATTTTCTATGTGATGATTTCTTCACACCTCTTCATAATGTTGTTAGGCGCTAGTCAGACTTCACAACATAGAGAATGCTAATAGCAAAATAAGAATTGTTTCCACGTTACAGAATATGTCCTTGTACTGTAAAAGTGTCGTTCATCTCATCACTGGGAGCAAATACCAAGATGTACTGTTGCCAGTTTTGCCAATTGCTGGAAAAAAAAGAAAAAAAGAAAAAAAAAAAGCAAAAAGCACCAGTGAGGAGAGGCTGATTTTTCCTGAGTTTCACTCAGAGCTGAGCAGTAGATGAGCTTCTGCTCTAAAATTTCTCAGTTTCCTGCTTTTGTCTGTACGGACTCCTGACGTAGGCGTCTGGGATACGTGGTGCCAGAGGCGCTGTCAGGCTCTGCGGCTGAGCTACCCTGAGCCCTGAAAGGAGCACAGGCACGCGAGCCCTGCGTGCTTGGAACCAGACCAGCTTGAGTGCAACTTCTACCATCTGCTCCCGTGCTCTGAAACACTGTTCTGCTAAACTGACAGAGGGCAGGGGGGACGTGAGCTACTTCCACAGCTTTGCTGGTAGATGATCTGCCTCTAAACAATGTTTTGATCCATAAATCTGCATTCTGAAATAAAGCAGCAATGCTTCTTACAACTTGATTTCTCTTAGTTACAACTTGTTAACTATTTATTCTGTTTAATTTTTCAACCATGAACAGATTGACCAGATACTAGTTCATCAGCAAATTGAACTTCTTGAGAGTAAGTGAAAAGTATTTTTAACAAAGAAATGTTTAAATCTAATAATCCCAGAACAGTAAAATTTAGACTTCCTCTGATGCTACGTATTTAAGGTGGATCACCACCTTTCTCTTTCCTGCCTTAGTTATCTGTCTTAATTCCTGCAGAAGTTGTGGAGGAGAGGAAGGAGAAAATAGGAGTGCAAAGGATTTTACATCAGGTTCTACATCTTAAAAGATACATAGCAGTGCGACTGAATAATCTTGGTAGTGAGTTATAGCTGAAGTCACACATTCCCATGTTATTCATTCACATGATTCCTACTTGCCTCTCTTCCCCACATAAAGATCTTCCTTTCTGTACTCTTGTATTCTGTCTAATTCCATGGGCTGGCATGTGGCTCCAATCCCGTTTCCAGGCAATCCTGCTGTTTTAGGGAATTGAACTGCTTTCCTTCTGCTCCCCTCATTCCGCTCACTTTAAGAATATCAAAGTCATGTTATCCATCGCTTTCAAATAGAAGAAATGAAATGGACAATCCATCTCAGCTGACAGCTAATGCTGCGTTTTCTTTCCATAAGGCTTCAAAGAGTACTTTCATTTGCTAGAGAAATTAATCAAAATTTCTGTCCTGGCTCTTGTTGTTTTCTGTTTGTGCTGCTGTGAATCTTGACTGTGAAGCTTTTTGTTGTGGCATTCTCATTCTGAATGTGTTTGTGCCCTCTAGAGCCCTTTTCTTCCTTCACCCCCAAACTCTCAAGTTTCTTTAATTCTCATCCCTTCAGCTCTTCCCTGGGACTCCTGCATGCTGTGTTATTTGTAACTGTGGGGTTTGCTCTGGCAGTAGGTGTCCATGTCTGGTGGGAGGGGACTGATGGACACCTCCGTGCTCTTTCCACATTGCGACGTTCGTGGTGGCTGCTCCTCTCTGAACTTCTCTGTTAGGCTGCTTTGCTCGAGAGTCCTTCCCCATCGCTTCCCTTTGCCAGTGGCTGCCTCTGGCAGACTTTGAGTGAGGCCTCCCTTCCCAAAGGGTAGCTTTAGAGGTAGCATGGTGCCTTTTCTGACCAGACACACCTCAGAAATGTAACAGTTCTCTTCCTATTTTTCAGTTTTAACTGGCTTTGAAACAAACAACAAATATGAAATCAAGAATACGCTGGGGCAAAGGGTGTACTTTGCAGCAGAAGACAATGACTGCTGCACCAGGAACTGCTGTGGGCCATCACGACCCTTCACCCTCCGGATTATAGACAACCTGGGCCATGAGGTGATAACGCTGCAGAGACCCCTCCGGTGTTCCTCGTGCTGCTTTCCCTGCTGCTTACAGGAGGTGAGTTTCTCCCTCTCACCGCCTTCCTTCACGTGGGACATGGTCCATCTGTGCAGTTTTAAGATGCGGTTGTCTTGCATCGGGACGCGAGGTGAAACAAGTCAGGGAGAGAGAGCTGTGGGATTTGTGCATGGGGTCCGTGGTCTCAGAAGAAGCAGGTGTACTGCAACACTTAGATTCACTCTGGCTGCTTCTGATTACGGTAATGAAAAATTGGATTCAACAGCATATCAATCAGGGAACTTGTGGCTGGTGCTGAAATCTGTGCTGGAGATGGACTTGCAATGGAAAGGTTAGGCAACAGCTTTTGTAAAATAATAGCTAGAGTTTTCACTTTACTGCTGTGAAATTCAACACATCAAATGATAAGCTTTTTTAATATTAAAATAATTATGGAGTGATGCAACTTCTGAAACCTCAAATCTGAGCCTACTCAGAGCTCTTACTGAAGGATTTGTAGTAGCTGCATCCTATGTTGTCTTCACTGAATGCTTTCAGGATGCTCACAGCCTTCCTTTCACTAGACTTTGATCTTTATACCATAGATGCGTAGCTTGTGAGCTCCACAGCCTTTAGAGTATCTTACTGTTTTCAGTGAAGACAAAGTTGCATATGAGGTCTGCAATTTGTGTGCAGTTTTCTGAAAACATTCACAGAAAACCCCGTGCAGCTTCGTGCATTGGAAAGCCAGATCGTTGTGGAAACGTTTGGTTTGTGTGCTAGTGTGGGGTTTATTTTACAAGCATATCAAAGCATGAACATTCACGTGGAGGTTTTCTTTTTCCTGTGAAGCTGGAAGTTCAGGCACCTCCAGGAACACCAGTTGGTTATGTTGTCCAGAACTGGCATCCCTGCCTGCCAAAGTTTACCATTCAGAATGAGAAAAGAATGGATGTACTGAAAATTATTGGCCCATGTGTTGTCTGCAGCTGTTGTGAGGACATTCATTTTGAGGTATGGAATGCTAAACATTGTACATATCTTCCTTCAGATAGTAGTTTGATAGTAGTTTGTTGCTTCACTTATTCTCTGTCAACTGAACTGTAGTATATATTAAGTAATTAATTTAATCATTTAATAATAATTCAATAACCAAGTAAATAAAGATAATTTAGACCTAAAATATATATTTGAATGACTGAAGAGTTACAACTTTCACTTAAAAATAACAGTGATTAAGGTACCATTATTTTCGTGTACTATTTAATTAAAATGATGTTGCGAATAGTTGCTAAAGCAAACCTAGTGTCATTTTATTTTGGGGACTAGCCTTTCGCATGGCCCTGAAGACTGGATCTAACTTTAGGAAACATAATGTTGACAAAGGGCTAATCTCTGCTTTGGAACAGAAGAATGTAATTTGTTTAATTTTCACTTGAGCAGTTCCTGATACATGGTAGGAGAAACTAATTCACTCTCTTGGCTAAAAGATCCCACTTTCAGCAGGGTGTGTGTGTGTGCATGCAGTAGCTGTCTTCCAACACCATTAAAGCATTGAACTCTGTGGTCAAATTTAGAATTAAGTTCACGGCTGTGCTACTAAAGAGTGACTTTCTGATAGTCAGGTTTGCCTTTTGGTACAAACAGTTGCATTCAATGACTGCATTAATTCAAATAACACCATCTGAAGCTTTCAAGTGGATCTATCATGAAAAGGATTTGGGAATATAATGAATGACAGATTTGATGTTGTTTTTTTAATTTTATATTAAACTAGGTGAAGTCTGTGGATGAGACTGCTTCTGTTGGGAGGATTTCTAAGCAGTGGACTGGGTTTTTGAAAGAAGCCTTTACGGATGCAGATAACTTTGGAATCACATTCCCAATGGACCTGGATGTAAAAATGAAAGCTGTCATGATCGGTGCTTGCTTCCTTATTGTAAGTCTGTCATTCACTAATACTTGAATATGAACTGACTTTTTCAGCTCCGTGTTCAGATTGTGCTGGTGGAGGATTTGCCTCTGAGCACCTTCAAGCTTGTTGTGAACTTCCTGTGTGTAAAACTAACCACAGAAGGCAACAAAGAATTATTTCAGATAATAAGCTTATTCCAGACTACATGAAGCGCTAACTGTGTTTAAGCAGAGCTTCGTATGTGATGGGACTGAGAAACCTTGTAAAGGGAAAACTCCTTACAGAGTCATTGGCAGAGGAAAGCACGTTTGTGTGGATGGTGAGACCAGAAAAGTGCAGATCAGCAATAGCCGAGACCCCCATCCAAAGCCAGAGCAGCCTGCTGAGCTAGTGAGCTAGACAGATGAACGCTGCAGTCTGTTCCTCCCGGCTCTCCTTTTTGGAAGCAGGTGAAGCACTGAGCTGAGCAGGATTAAACGCTCTCAGAGGAGCCATTTCCAATAGGAGGGACTTCTGGGGAGGCAAAGCACATCTAACTCAATACAGTGCTTTTCACTTGCACTCTGACTGTCATGTCAAACACGGCAGCATAGCTCACTTCGCTCTTTGCAAACAGTGTGCAACACACTTGTGTTTCCACTTACCTGTGCAATTCATCATCAGGTGCCATTTCAAAAAGCGGACTGCTTCTGTGCTGCAGAGCTGCAGAGGGGGAGGAAAGGGGCATGTGGAGCACCTTGAGTTTGGAAAGTTCTCACCAGTCTCTAACAGCCCTGTGCACGACCCAGGTTGACCTTAGCTGTGCGTGTTCGTGTGCTACCATGTGCACGAAGTACAGCGTCAGTGAGCACGAACAACCCGGAATCCAGACACAGAAAACGGGGCCCCCAGATGTAAACTAAAGACAGTGACCATTATGATGAGTTCCACCTTGAGGTAAAATTGAAGGGACTGAGTCAGGTCAAACAAAGCCAGGGCAGGAATCCTGAGTAAAGGAAGCATAGCTTCCTTTTAAATTTTAAATTTTCCATGTAGGTCTTTCACCACCTCTTTCTGTGGGTGTCCTATTCTGAGACCCCCAGGTGATGGAGGGCTGGAGAGAGGTGCCCCCACCTTCTTATCATTTGAGGTTTCTGAGAGGAAGGTGCTTGGCATACCTTGCAAAACAACCAGAAGATCTCTGAACTAAGAGCTGCATTTAAGAAATTTGGTTTGTTTGTTTTTTGTTTCCTTCTTAGGACTTCATGTTTTTTGAGCATGCTGGTGATAACCAACAGCGAACAGGAGTTTGGCAATGAAATCTAGAACCTTTTACACAGAAGGAAGAACAACATACATCTCCCAACTTCCCAGTGGATTGCAGAGCTCCAGTAAGAGCTTATATTGTGCTTATAGTTATATTTCTATAAACTACAGGCTTTATTTTTTTTTTTTTTTGTAATCTGATGAAATGATTTGTAGTATTCAAATAACAACCCTTTGTATGGATCAGTATCGTAGTTGATATAAATATATAGCAATCTTTTTTTCCCAAGAAATTTGGAATTGTAAAATAAGTACTTATTTTAATTCTTAAAAAGGAGAACTACTTCTATATTCAATATTAATATAAGCAGTGAGCCCAATAAAGAGGTCCTGATCTTTTCCTGTGTATCCTTCTCCAGTAGTTTTGTCTCTGCGTTCATGTTATGTTGCTTCCAACTTCTTATCAAATATATACGTTCAAACCAAAGTAATCTAAGTGAACAGGATTATCAGATATCACTATAGAATTGTATTAATCTAATGGTAAATGTGCTGTCAAATATGACTCTTTTAATGCAACAGTTTCGTAATTTGGGTTGTTTTGAAACTTAAGGCTTTGATTTTCACCAACAGAAGTTTAGAGGTGACAGGAAATATAAATGCCTGTGGTTGCTTCTGTTTAATAATCCTTTAGTAATTGCTTTGTGCATGAGTGTGTTTTTTCCAGAGACAAGGAAAAACTAGTTAGTTACTCTTTCAGTTTCTCCAGTCCTCTTTACTCTTCATTTAGTCCATTATTTTCACAAATTGTAAGTCTGTCTGTAGGTGTGAGGGGGCAGGAATAATCAACAGAACAATTCCAGTTCAAAAGCAGATGCATGAAATGGCAGGTCTTTTTCTTAGCATTTATAGCTTTATTTGAATGTGCAAGCTAAAGTTGCAATTTCGACCCTAGCTTCACACATGCATGTGCATATAGCAGTTGTTGGGACCCAGCTATGTGGAGAGGTCCTTGCCAGTATTTTCAGTTGTATTCTAATTCTGCTAAAGATTCCTTTTGTTCAATATTTTCAATTTATTGGTGGCTCCTGGCAAGTCAAAAAGCAGAAGAAAAGAGGAGTGCCATTGCTGCTATGTACCTGGACTCTCTTTAATGTTCTATTTGTACAAATGTGTGACAACAATCTATAGTGTTCTGAAACTCTTTCAAATTGTATATTATGCCTTGTTAAAGTTAGCTTCTGCTGCTAAAGACAGAATTCCTAGAATATGATGTCTTTAATAATAGGAATTGGAGGAGGTAGATTTTTGATTAATCAGCACTATTCTTAGGGAATTAAAATACTGTTATTTTGAAATTTTTTTGTGCTTTATTGACCGGCTATTAATGAGATACTGGAAATTCAGTCTTGCTAAAATCTGCTAAAAGTTTCTGCTTGCTTCAGTTAGGAATAGACCCTACGTGTATAGAAACCAAAGTAACACACCCAGGAGCAGACCTGTCCTGTAGGGATTCATATGGCTAAGCTCATCAGTACTATTCTTCCTGCAAGGGGTGACACATAGTTTCAGTTCTGCCTGTAGTTCTGAAGTCCCAGGCTCAAGCACGTTCAATAGCTGCGCTTTCAACAGAGTGCAGAGTTACTCAAATATTCCATAAATATTTTTATGAAGATATTTGAAAATACCTGTCTAATTCCATGGCAGGTCCTGCATAGAATTTAAATTTACCTTTTGCATTAGACTGAGGTCTGTCAGTGGCTGTTTGAAGAATGGATGGAATAATATTTTGCAAGTAGGCAAAACAGTGATGCCTTTGCTTGTGCTGAAAAGCATCTTGCATGATAAATTTATCCCTTGACAATAAATTGGGGAGTGAATGCAAATTTAAGTAAGGTATTAGGACCTTGGGCTAATGGGACATTATTTTCATTCCTCCAAGTAATTCAACAGTTTATGTGCAAATGTTGTGCTTAGTTATTCACTGCAAGTCCTGGAAGCACCAATGTCCCAACAACCTTGAATACAAAATTACATAGAAAAATTCACATACATACATTCTACATAAATTCACATACATACATACTCTACATTCTCTGTAGAGCAGTAAGGGAAGAATGTGAGCATGTCAGCAGTCAAGAATGATCAGCTTCACATAAAGATATGTAGGAAAAAACTGTTGCAACTCTTGTATCTTAAGCAGAATTCCAATTGCAAGCAGTAACAATTCTGTAAAGTGTAATCAAAGCAAAGATATCTTTGCTTAGAAACAGGTTTCTCAAATCTAGTGAAACCCAACAATGAAGTTGAGTAAGTTGTACTATTGTCATTTAGATTTTTTGATCTTCTGCTGCTTGAGTCTAGTGGTCAAATTGTTACAGCTTATTCCTTTACCATGTATTTAGCAAAATCAGTAAATAAGATGAAGAATTAGCCCAAGGGAATGAGTATGTGAATCCAGCTACATAGTAAGATGTAATAAGTTCGAGTTAAACCTTAGATGTGTGAAAATTGTGGTAAGAACAGGAAGGAAATTCCACAACCTCAGATCATAAAAGGACAGAGAGAGCATTGGCCTAGGGGAGCTTCCAATCAGTTGGGGAACTGGATAGCTCTGGTCCTGGTTACACAACCTCAGATCATAAAAGGACAGAGAGAGCATTGCCCTAGGGGAGCTTCCCATCGGTTGGGGAACTGGATAGTCCTGGTCCTGGTTACACAGCTCAAACTTTTCTCTTGTGAAATGGTTCACAGACTCTCATGAAGGTAAAAATATTGCATGAGAAGTCCTAAGGCTATCAAGGGGTAATTCTTTAGTTAACCAAACAATGTTTTACCACCTTTGTAATCTCTTTCATTTTTTCATAACTATTTAATTGAAAAATGCTTATTCCTTAAATTTTCCAAGAACTTTTGGAGACAGCTGTATTCCCTTGCTCATTGCTGAAACTGATTGTGCTAAATGCAGAATAAATCATTCTTTGAGCTGTCTGTCTTCATTTTGAAAGAACCCATAACAGCATCCATATTTCATAAATCACCAAACTCTAGAACTCTCCACTCTTCATCCATCAGACTATAAGCAATATAATGATTTATTCCCCATGCATAAATCCAGGCTTTGGAAAGCATTAGAAGACTTTCAGCACGCTGCCTGTTATTCAATACCATTTCAGTTAGATAGAGCTGTTACATAAAACCTTTACAGAGTGAGATTTGCAGATGGATTTCTCTGGTTCTGTTAATGACCTTTCCATCTGTATCATCCCTCTAAGTTTTTCATCTCCAGCTGTACAGGAGATGCAGTCACTTAATGAAACTCTATGGTCTACCTAGCGCAGAAAGGAATAATTTATATGATGTTTCTCAGTAGAAAAGCATAGTTAATTCCAGTTTCCAGAAAGCAAAATTCTAAGTGTAAAATAAAAAAAGAAAAAATGAAAAGGTGATTTACTTCACTAATGTTAAGGAAGATTGGGCTTTTGCTAACTGAGGGGAGAGAATAATTTTGCTAATCGGAGAAGAGGGGTGGCATTGTTATAAAGTATATTGCATTACACTTGGTCTCCTAAAAACATTTTAATTCATATTAGAAAATTTTAGAAAAAGGCCTCTTAGGGTCTTTTTGTAGACCCAAGGACAGCCCTTACATCCCTCACATACCTCATCTTGGCTTTACTAATGAGAATAACTCTGACCAAAGCTGAAAAGCTGACAAGCTGACGGGGAGCAGGGACTGCACAATAAAAGGTGAGTCAGGGAAGGGGAAAGCAGCTGGTTTTCTTGGACTGAATTTAGCTCATTTACTGCAGATGCAAGGGAAACTCATTGGAAATGCTAGGGGTAATAAAGAAAAGAAAATCTTTGTTCAAGGGAGAATGTATCGTAAAATTGCTTGGCTTGAGAGTTTGACTACTACTGAACATTGTAAGACTAGGAATGTGAATAATTTGTCACAGAAATACTTATGAAATTGATAAATAGTAAAGCAAAAGGATGATGCAAGAAGTTGTGAAATCAGAGGAACTTGCAGATAAGGGAACCTCTCAAGACCAGGGCAGGGAAATGAATACAGGTTGCACGGAGGGAAACCACCACTACACCACAAGATGAAGCTGCTACTTCAAGCAAAAAGCAGTCATGTGGTAAGATTTGATCTCAAATTAGTGAGACAGGAGGTAAAAAAAGGGATAAAAACCCCACAGAAAATAGCAAGAGGTTGGAGGGAGACAAGAACAAGGAATAAAGCTGCAGCTCTCCCAGGGCAGAGGGAAGAACCTGGCTAATGGAGAGTTCTGTTGTGTTGATCTGGGGCTCTACGTATGCTTTCGTGATATACATATACACGCTATACTAATGTACCGGATCAGATCACTCAAGGACTCTACTATCAGTCACCACTCACAGGGAGACTTCCATACATTGCCAATTTTGTTCTGGGGAGACTTTATCCTTTGTTCTACAGATATATTTGACATATCACTTGTTTTTGGTTTATTTGCATTTTTTTCCCTTGATAACACTATGTGATTAAAGACAGCAGTGAGGAGAAAATATACAGGAAAGCATTGCAACAAAAAAACGGAGAAGAGATGAGAACAGGGATTGACGATGATTGTAGCTCGTATTTTTCAATGGGTGGCAATAGGTGGCAGTGTTAGCACAGGAATTATGTTTTCACTGCTTAAAACCTTGCTCTGAGATTCACAGGCAGTTTCGCTAGTTGTCATTCTGATTTTCTCAGTGGAAGAATTTCAGATTACACTGTCTCCAAAGTATGTATTCCCTACGTGAGTGTGGAAAGCTAGATGTGTCTTTCCCACCCAAGCTGCAAAAGCTTAAGCTTCAAATGCAATTAAGCGGCACTAGGAAAATTAAAAAATGTGTGTGAAAGTATGTTAAACTGTGCTTGATTTAAAGAAGCCCAGACAAATAGTGTGTAACATCCTTAAAGTTGCATTAGGCTTGGTAAATGGTAGAATTTTGAATTGGACTATGCTTTCTGACATAATTTACTACATCATGAAAAAAAGGTAATATATCACAGCAGGGTACGTCAAAACAAACAGCCTAATTTCATTGCTGGTTTAATGTCACTATTTTACATCTGAGATGCATTTAGCCCTCTAGA